CTGTATGATATAGGGAAGGACCTCTTCAGGATGCCAATACCTCAATATGACACACTGTCGACAAAGCCATAATGCTAATTTTAGCATAGCTGCTTCTCTTTGGACTATGGCAGGAAACTAAAAGTCATTGAGGAAACTCCCAAGATACACAGAGCAGGGACAGGACTTGAATCTCCAACCTTAGAGATATGATGAACGAGTGGTACCCACTGGAGCACCTTAAAAGCAACACTAACATTCTTCCTGAATATTCAATTGAAAAGATTTTTCCCCTTTATTATTTACCATAATTTTTACATAATTAGTTTATATTCTTAATTTATATAAATTAATATACATTGTAAATTTATTCACACACACACACACACACAGCATTTTTAAAACGTGGGTTAATCCTGCTTCTGATGGCAGAAGCTACGCTGAGCAGCAGGTTGCTTCCAGGTACAAAACTTCTAAGACAGCAGCACACAAAGAGTGAAGCTGGAGACACTGCAAACAAATAGAAAGCAGCCAGGTAAAGGGCGGAAGCGACTTTCTAATGCCAGAGGTGACCAACAACTTATCCAACAGTTTCTCATGAATCAGAGGATGACCTCAAGTGACCTTCAAAAGGAATGAGAAACATTAAGTGCAGGTGTGAAGTGCACTGCTAGGACAGTTCATATCAAGCTCCTAGAAGCAGAACTGAAGTCCCATAAAGCAAGGAAGGAGCCCTTCATTAATGAGAAACAGAGAGGAACCAGGCTGTGGTTTGCAAAAAAATACATGTTTTTCACAAACACATACCCATAAATTGAGAAATGAGTGGAAAAAAGCAGAGTGAAACAAAATAATATGCTGTGGTCTCATTTTTTTCCAGAGCTGTATATAAAGATATATGCATGTATGAATAATATATTTTTTTGCATGCCTGACATCCTATTAACTGGTTGCATGGTGATGGGAGAGTCAAATTCTATTTAACTTAAATGCCCTAGTTAACGGTTTCATCCCATGAAACAGAGCAGTATTTAATGTCCCTTGTACAAAGAATGCCTTGAATTTGAACTGCTAGAAGAAATTACTTTGACAAATCAAAGATATGACATTTTCTTGCTAATAAAGGTACTCAAATGGAGAACATACTAGAAATGTATTTATTTGTTAGCAAATAGTCTTGAGTATTTTAGTGAATGTTAAGTTAGTAGCATGCAAATATAGAAAACTTCATTGTGTGCAAAAACTGGTTATGTGTGTGTGTATATATCAATATATCAACATACAATCACATGTGTGTGTTGTTTTACAGTGCAGGATATTAGTTGCACTGTTATTTAATCACTGTTAGTTAAAGAGCAAAACTATGAAAGTGAGATAAAGGACAGAACACTGAGCAAGATATTACTGGACACTACTGGAAATTGAAGAAGATTGATAACAGAAGTTAGAAATGAATATAATTGCCAACATACACAAAAAAAAACACATGCAGGCCTGCCTGACTGATCAGCTCTAAAGCTGATATGAGCCCTTAATCATTACAGAGTGTTAACTTACATGTGTACTCATTTCGGGAGACATTCGGGCTCCTTAGGTCCTGCGGTCCCACAGTTCCCACTGAGATGTAGTACAGTGTTCCTGAAGTCAGTCCTGAACATTTAACCTGATTCTGTGACACCAGCATGATCTGGGTGGATGAATTCAGGCTGGATGTGAACGCTACACTGTACTTAGCTTCTGCAGCTGCTTCCATAACCGGCACGTCCCAGGAAAGTGAAATGGAGTTGTTGGTTTTCTCTACTATTTTTATAGCTCCGGGTGGGTTTGGTCCTGTGATTCAGAAACACACATGAAATAATCAAATTGAAACGTTTCCAAAGAGTAGGAGATATGCAAAATATATTTTTTTGCAATGAAACATGCAACCAAGGATATAATTGTAAAATGAAAAGCAATGTTTGTTAGGCTATATGGAAAGACAGGTTTAGTATTATTTACTAGTAGCAACTTGGACGATATCAGATGTATTTTTGAATGGCCCAATGATGGAGGTCACACTGAGATTGTACATTACTCCAGCTTCCAATTCCTGCAGGTCTGTATAATTTTTTTGTGTAGTGGAAATCCTTGTAAAGTTATTTTCGCAGTTTGTGACTGTCACTTCATACTCCATCACGGTTCCAGGAGGTGAGCTCCATAAGACACGCAGACCATTGTTCTGCTGATTTACAGCTGAGATGTTCTCAGGTTGTCCAGGCTCTGTAGGGGTGAAAGGTTGGAGTCATGTTCATGGCACTGACGTAGAAGAAACCCTAAATGGGTAAGCACACACTGGGACAGCAGAAATAACTTTGTCTTTTGTTTCTGAACATACCGCTGTTGTGCCAAAATAGGCAACATATCGATTTCAATGGACTGTTTTCAGAAAATAAGCTATATTTAGAAACCTCTGCAAGAATTGCTCCTACTTTTTCAGTATTAATCCTGAGCTTTACATATAACAGGTTTATGATCTGCGTAATGTAGAACTGCCAATTCCATGGCTGAAAGATGCATCATTTCAAAAGATAAAATACTCACTTGCATACTGTGCCATACTCACAGCAGCTCCTTCAGTTTTACTATCTGCAGCGATCGCTAGAACTCTAAATATATACTGAGTTCCAGAAGCCAGTGCTACTATGTCTGATTTGTAGTCTTATTGTCAGTTATACCGCCAACATCCTACTCTACTCTATGAAAGGAGTGGCTTCCCTGAAGGTCACTCCAGCTCAGAGACACGGAGGACGTTGTGGGTTGGGTAACATTGAGGTTCCTGATCACATCAGGCCCTCTGAGTGTAAGAGTGGGGATTGGAGGAAAGAGGGAATGGAGATTTCAGCTTGGTACATTTCTTTACCATATTCTGGGATGGGGCAGGGTGGATCTGAGTAAATGAGGTCTGAATATTTTATGTACCCCACTTATGCTATATTGTTTTGAAAATAATTTTAATAATGGACACAGACATCACAATCCATCAGCAATATAAAGGCAAATAAAGATTAATACCACTTTTGAATTTTTCAAATTTGTATTTTTTCCCCAATTTAGTAAGAGAAAGAGTGGATAGCGAGCAGTAACAAGAACTGATTTGTCCCATTGTTTCCTGATAATGGATGGGAGCTAACAGCTAGCGAGATCTACTTTACCAAACCAATTTATTTCTTAATTGTGATGTTACATTTATAATATAAATGCATATCTACATTTAATCAACTACATAAAGGTTCTCTGTGTCTTAAAAACACCTTGAAACCAGATTTTTCAATTATCTTTTCGTCCAGTCAGGTAAAGTTGTTCATAGCTATTACGTAACTGTTGGTACAATATTGGCATTCCTTCATAATTACTGATGATTTGTAACCATGACTTACTTGTAAATTGAGAACAATTAACAGAGGCACCTTTCAGATTATCACCAAAAATCGGGATTACTGTAAATGTGTACTGAGTTCCAGGAGTCAGATCTGTTATATCGATGGATGATGATTTTGTTGATTTATTCTTGCATGTGGTGCCCTCTTTCCACTCAGCTAGGTAAGACGTGGTGTTTTCAGGTGATGGGCTCCAGCGCAGAGACACAGATGATGTTGTGATTTGAGTTACAGAAAGATTACCCACCACAACAGGCCCTGCCCGTGTAAGAGAACATGGTGCAATGAGAAACAAATGACTGGGTTCTACATCATCGAAATGGGTTAGCTGTGGGTCACTTCGCTCTATTCAACATCTATCTCATTGATCATTCAAAACAAGATCTCCATGCAAAATTTTATTACATCCCAAAATGATTAAAAATACTTTGCAGTGTTTGTCAACCTGGTCCTTGCGGGACCCCCATACATCCACATTTTTGCTCCCTCCCAGCACTCAGTAGAGGTTAGGGTGGGAGCTAGAATGTGGAATGTCTGGGGGTCACTGAGGACTAGTTTGAGAAACACTGGCCAAAAGCAACTTCCTGATACTAGCCTTCAACTTCAAGAAAAGAAGCACTGACAAACACCAATGCAAAAAAAAAGGATCCCCACTAAATCACTTATGTACATTCCTTCTGTGTTTACACTCCATGCAGTATATTTACTTCAGTATGACATTTTATTACAAGGACATTCTTGTGAATTGAACTTTACGAACAGCTGCTCCATTTGTGCTGTTATCCACACCAACTGCAGTGATTGTGAATGTGTACTGTATTCCAGCTGTTAGATTCATTATGTTAATGAATGCTTCCTGAAGATTACCTGCTCCAACTTCTTTTTGAGGGACACTCCAGGTAATAGACACGGAGGATGTTGTGAAGTCAGTAACAGTGGTATTACTGATCGCATCTGGCGATGCTGGATCAAGAAAAAAATTGCATTATGAGAGAAACCATTTCCATTAAAACACCCAAAATGGGACTAGGTATTTTCCAGTTCTGAAGGTGGCATGGTATATGGGTTATTATGACAATTAGACATTTTTTGTAGAAAATAAAGACTATGTTTACAAGCCACATGTCACTGTTTCTTAAAATAAATTGAGGATATGGTTGCTTGATTATTTAGACTTCCCAAATGTCACCACATGTTTAGAAAAGTAATACACTGTTCAAAAAAAGAAAAAAATCTACTGAGCTTGAGTTTGGTGGAAATTCTGTGAATTCCAGAAATTCTAGAAATTTGATTCTATGCTATTAATGGTTTCAATGGTTAAACATCAAACATTATAAACAGATTTTTGTACTTTTTGTGTATTAAAAACAACAAACAATATCAGACACTAAACGACTGACCAAAATTATTCTGCAAATATATTTCATTAAAACTGTTATTGTAGTAACAGACTGGGTGTATTGGAAATAGAACCCTTTAGAACCCTTTAGAATCCTTTACCTCCTGCACACCCCACTTGCATATTGAAGTTTATCAGACATGAGCAGTATTTCAATTCAATGTATTTAAAATATGTATTCAGTTACTTTTGAGTATTTTCATTTGTATTGTGCTGGACGAAAAAAATAAGATGTAATTTACAACAAAATATTTTGAGAGATTGTATTTTATGTATATAAAATATTTAATAAAATATGTAATTTTACTTATTTATTTTCTGTCATTTAAAGAACATTCATCACTAGGCTTACATACTATTAAATACAGCCTATCACTGGTTTTGTCTAGATGCACGTAAATGACATGACACATCCTGCTGGGCCCAGTTTGCTCGTGTGAACTTTGTTTTCCCATGACCAGTAGCCCAAGGAAAGAAGCTGCTCTGGTGCAAATTTCCTTAAGGTAAAGTATGTAGTAAAATATATCAGATATTACTCACTGAATGTTATTTTACGACAGAAAAATAGAGCAATTAGAAAACAGCAGCACTGAGCTCTAGAACATGTGAATTAACTTGCTGGCCTGCTAGTGGCATTCTGGGTAATTTCAACAGGCATGTTCAGGCAGTGGCGTATTGTGGTTTGTCATATATGAAAAATCTGGCTAAGGACAAGATTAATTTCTATCAGCTAAACTTAGGCATTTTTGTAGCCACTGCGCCTGTGTAACAGTGATAATTGACTGGTGAACTAGGCATTGCCTATTGTAGACATGGCTCCTATTTTTAAGCATCAAGCCAAAAAACAGTTTCTTTGAGTTTGTCCCGGTTCGGCAAAGTGGGAAATTCACACATTATGATCATATTAGAACGCGCTGGTGAGCCTCATAGCTTGTGCACACGCACACAGCAGCACCCCTGTAGGGGCAGTGGTGACCTAATGGTTAGGGAAGTGCACTTGTAATTCAAAGATTGCTGGTTTGGGTATCAGTGAGGTTGCTGATCACATCAGGCCCTGTGTGTGTGAAACAGGAGGTTCAAGAAGAGATTTTGTATTTTAAGTGTGTGTGGGTCATGTATGTATTACTTTGTGGGGACATTTCATCGATTTTAAATTGGTCGTGTTCGTTTTTCACAATTTTGCAAATTGAAGAATTTCATTCAAAACACACCACAATACTTTCACTTTTTAAATATTATGACTGCACTAGTAATATACCCCAATCTCTGTTATCTAAACAAAAAAAAACAAGAGGAAAATTGTACATATTCTGAAATGAAGAATATTTAAAACATTTTTAAATACAAAAGTACAAACATATATTTAGACAAGAAGAGAGAATTGTTTGAGATTCACTTACAGCCTTCCATATATGAGATCTAGGAAAAAAAGACAGCAAATGAATTAATATCAAATAATAAAATAATAGCAATAATTAACGTCTACTAGAAGATGTGAGTTTTGTTTGTACAGTATTAGTAATAACTGGCCTTCAGTGTTAAAATATATTTTTACATTTTTACACAAGTTTAGAAGTGAAGAGGAAAAAAAAGATAAACAAAAACAACAAAGATAATGTGTTTTATATTCACCCCCCAACCCAAAGTTCCACAAGGGAGACAAACGGGAAGCCAGGGTCTAACTTAAAAGTGCTTAATGGTCTATTGATCAAAAGAGTGCTTCATCAGACAGGGATGAACTTCATTCATTATAACAATATAATTCACACACAACAATCTGATGGTCATTATTACCCATTGTAAAGTAATTGCTACAGAATGAAAATCCTTGTTGCGATACTTTAGGCACTTTTGCCAAAGAAATTAGGATTTCTCATCTCAAATAAGATATTCAAAGACAGTTTTCATCATCAAAAACCAGCCCTTGACGCAGGGACATTGCCAGTTTGACCAACCAAGAGATTCTCCACCAAATGTCAAATTTTTGCCATAAATTTAACAGAACATTTCAGATATAAGACCACAAGCCTATCTTAGGCATTGTATTGAGACAATATAGTATTATGTGTATTAGCTACATATAGCTACTATAAATATAATATCCATTATTATGGGTGGAACTTAATTTTTGCTATAGCCAGTTGTGCTACCTCAGATGCTGTTCAGCTTCTTGTACTTGCCCTTTGTCTAAGTTACTAGCCCAAAACAAGTTGGGAGCCTTATTTTCATTATTATTCCAGTACTTTGTAATCGTTGGTCAATCCAGGCCTGTGGTGGGTTTAAACAAACTAAGACTAAGCTAACAGTAATGGAAGCAACACCACCAGGCACTAGTGCAGGAGACAGTTTGATACTGGGAGGTGGGGGAACAACTAAATAATTTAAATACAAAGGTCTGTTTATCAGAGGGGATGAATGAATCCAAATTAAATATTAAGGGGGGACACAACGTGCTGTCCCCCCCCCCAGTTCCTATGCCGTTGCTGCCAGTGTTCAGTGTTTTGAACTTGCCCTTTTGTCTTACTAAGTAACTTGCCTCAGGTGAGTGACAAGCTTAATTTCCAGCCCTGAGCACCGCATATATAAGTTTTTCTCCACAACAGACTGGCACAGAAATGATAGCATGAAAGGCAAAGGAAACAATGAAAACGAGGTCAATGTATAAACTGGGAAACTCCCAAAAGAGCTATTAAGGGTCACATTTGGAGGAGAGGAAAAAATGTACTTTAACAACTAAGTACAAATTCTGCTGATTTACAGCAGTTCAAAATTTTACTAGTTAATTTCCTCTTAACCGTATCATCAAAATAGATTCTGCTGCTTCCTTCTTATCCTTAACCTTCTATGACCATTTAAACATTACAGTGAACTTGAGAGCTGGGGGTTATGAAACGTGGCCCATTGCATTGAATGGGAAGTCAGCACATTCAAACCCACAACCCTCAGCGTGAGGCTCAACAGCATGACCAGCTGAGCCACTGCGATGCTGCTGCTCCTTTGCAAAGCATGTCTGTACAGTCATTCATTGAATTATTGGCATGTATATACAGTAAATAGCTGACATAATATTATTTGCAGTGTCTAAAGTAACATTTTACTTAAGGCCATGTTTTTAGCAGCTTTTAAACATATTCATAACAAATAATGCATTCATAAACCAGTATATACATGGCTATAAAATTTATCAAAAGGTAGAATACGGTATTGCATTGTGCATTATGCATTATGAATGCTTATTATAAAGCTCTCATCTTTACTGCACTATAGATGCTTTCATAATGCATTATAGTGGTCAGTATAAGCATTATGGATGCTTTGTACTGTATTATAAAGGTGTCTATAGTGCATTATAATTGAGAGCTTCATAAAGTATTCCTAATGCATAATAAACATGGCGATGTTATGCCTTTTTTGCATATTCATAGCCATGTTTATAATGCTTTATGAATGCATTATAATGCATTATGAATGTGTTTATAAATAACTAAAAACATGGCCTTAAGTAAAGTGTTACTAGGTCTCTTCTACACAATATGATGTGTGGAATATGATGTTTAGAACTCTGGAGCCAAGCTGCATGTCTCTTTGTACTTTCCAGCACTGTAATAAACAAAAAAATAATGAATGATGAATCAATCACGAACAGCCCACACCACAGGTCTGAAGTGAGCCAAACATGCATACTGTGATGGATGGGAAAAAGCCAGCCCACTGACCACGTATGGTTGGTTTTATGATAAACAGAAGCAATAATATGAATTTAAAGGCAATCCTCCCCCCTCCCCACCCACTTACAGAACCCCTCTGATCCAATGGAGACATACGCAGTTGAAGGCTGAGCATTCAGTGGCTGTAAATGGTGAGACGTCTCCTTCCCTGACTGGTTCAGGCCAGCAGCTGCAGCCGTCACCGTGCGCAGTCTGCACTGTCCCTCCCACACGGAGAGCAGTCAGTCCTGCTATTGTCTCCAGTTCCACTAAATGAAATAATTTCAGAGAAAGAGCACTCTGTGTGGCCAGCAAGATCGTCACATCACACGTGCTCAATAAGAGTACAGAGTTGATGTGGGAGATGAAAAAATCCTGTGTTTTATTGTGAAAGGAGGTGAACAGAAATACACAGAAAACAGAACGTTTTACTGTTTTAGGTCGTGCCTTTTTAATGGTAAATAAAACCATTCATCCATCCATCCATCCACCCACCCATTCTCTATACCTGCCTGTTTTAGACAGTGAATAACCCAGGATAACCACAGGGTTGCTATATGATCATAAATCCACTACACATTAAACATGACACAAAGCACATTATTTGAGCACAGTTTTGGATGTAACATTACCACATCCAAACCCTATTCCCCCCCCCATCAAAAACCCTGCCCATGACTTTGCCCCGGCCTCTGTGGGTATCTTCAGAACACCAGAGCTACTGAAGCACTATGGAAATCAAAGGTGATGTTTGCACTGCTTCTCTTCAGCTCCAGCTGGGTTTTACACTAATCGCCGATGTGTATCTGCTATAATTGTACAGTCGGTCACGCTTCATGCTCAGTTGTCATTCTCTGTGGCTGCAGAGGTCGAGCAAAAGAAAAAAAAAAGCTCAGAGCAGAGACTTGCATTTGCATGCGAGTGGTAGAGGCTGAGGGCAGCTGCGTGCCACCGTCACCTACCTGTCTCTCTCTGCCTCGTAAGGATCTGCAAGTCCCATGTCTCTGCCCCAGCTTTCCCAGGCTGCAGATGATGCCTTGCCTGTTACCAAGTGTCCTTCTCATGTGATATAAGGCCATCTTCAAGCTTTCCCTAGGGACGTGACCCCCAGGTCAATATATACTAAAAAAACTGCTTGCTGTGTAATGCTAGCATCTATGAAGTCTGATCTCCAGCTTGAATGATACAATCAACCATCTTCGATCCATCCATCCATTGATTTTCATACCATATATCCAGAACAGGTACCACAGAGTCTATCAGAGTCTATCACACACAGACTAGGCCAGGGGTCGGTAACCTGTGGCTCGCGAGACACATGCGGCTCCTTGAGCACGAGCCCGCGGCTCCTCTCAGAATGATAGACGCATGTCTTAACATATTATGATAATACTTTCATAAATATAAATCATTTATTTTTGGGTTAATATTATTATTTTTCATTTAGAGATTTCTTTAATTATATGTGAATGAGGCAGTCTGTCACGCGCTTCTGTGATGTCTTACCTGCATAATCGTCTTCAAAGTCATTTTCTATGACAAGAGTACGTCTCCGGTCAAATGGTATGTTTTCTGGAGTTTTCTTCAGTGTCCGAGATTGGATGTAGGCTTCAAAGTTTATTGGGATTCCTAATTCTTTCACATACTTTTTCTAGTAAATCGTCATCACGCCTTCCTGGGTCTTCGTAAAATTGTTATATTTTCTCTGATTTATATATTATAGCCAGCTGAGTTCGAAGTGGTGAGGACATTTTGCACTGCTCAGTCAGCACAGTTACAAGTAGTGAAGTGGAGAGTGAAGGCCAAACGACTGCAGAGCCAAACACATGGTGCAACAGCGATGTGACCATTCTGCTGAGCATGGAACTCGAAGCACCAATTATCCAATCACAAGTACCGAGGCCCAACCTGCTGACCCAAACAGGGGGGGAATGCCACACACACATGGCCAGGGAAAGGACTCCCAAAGCCCTGAACCTGTAGAGGTGAAGCCTCAGCTCTGTCTACAGAGTGACTGCTGCCCTAGCTGGACTATTAAGAACCATAGCTTCCCCTTTTGAGGATGCCAGTACAGAACTGAAGCTTAAAAAAATCGCCAGTTAAAATTTTGACACACCATTTTTAACTGGCACCTAACTGACCATTACTGATAGGAAGAGTTATAATCATTTCCATCGATTGTATCAGGACACCACACTGGGCCAGCGCTCAACTACTACAGAGAAAAAAAAACACAACTAATGTTCATTTCAGTGATGATGAATGATGATACACCAGAACTCACACAGGAAAAAAAATCACTTAGTGAGAACTTTGCTTCTCTGTAGCACCTGCATGTGGACATGCCCAAGTTCCTGACATATAGACTTTCTGAAGAACGTTTTGTTTTCCATTGGACTGGGATGCCTTGTTTATGAAATCAATACACAGAATCAATATGCTTGCCCTGAGTTCTCCCTGCTTCTGTTTGATCAAAGGTAACATCAACATACGCCCCAGGTCTGCAAAAGGACACTTTAAGGTGGCGGCTCATGCTGGTACTTAAAATGAATTTCTGCAATGGAAAAAGGTAGTATGTAGTATAAGCTCAAGGCCAAATGCGACTGCCTTCTTAAATAATTTCACCAACAGGAAACGTATTTTGTGGTGAAACACTGCTGTAAAACACACAACAAACTACCAAAAGCTACATCAATGTTTGTAAAGCATAGA